GAATTGCTCATTAAATACATTTACGGATTTCGAATCAGTCATGATTCCGGAGCTGGAAAGCGATTCAAGCTTCCCATCAAACCAAACAGCTGCCCGCACTGCATCACAACTCGACCACCTAAAAATGTCAATACACCTATTCCGTTTGTTCACCCGATTCCGATAATCTCCTCTATAATTTGTAGCTTAAATCTTGCTTTTTCGCTGCACATGACATTACCCCAGAGCGCTCCATGCCAGTAACACTGATGTGCAAATCGCTCAAAGCACACACTTTAATGGCAACTGGTCATACAATAAATCTTTACCGGCTTTCGACACCACATTAGTGCGCGTTCTCAACCGGAAAATACATGTTCGACATCTCAAAGACAATACAGAGATCCTTCGCAATATCCGACTTCTCACAAGGCGGTCACTACCAGTGACATGAACCGTGCTATACACTTTGAAACCGTGGATTGTCTCATGCCTTCAGTATTCAAACGGTGAACTTTCTTACTTCCCAAGCAACAATAGCTTGATAAAATACTTGCTGCATACATTCTAAACCGAAAATACAGGGTGCTTGCTTCTTCCCACATTTGAGTGACTATGGTTTCACGAATGAGTATGATGCCTAGCAAAGTTGTCAACGAAAATTTAGTCATCCAATCGCATTTCGTTTTGCCTTGGGGATTTCGAGCACAAAAATTGGGTATTAACTTGTGCATGATTTATTTTGGTAAGCCGAGGTTAGGGTGGTGACGCACTGGTTTAGTCGGTGTCACCGGCGTGCTTCGGACCCTATGATCAGAGATTAGAGCCCCGCTACTGCCACCCAACTTTGGTGGTATACAGCTCTGCTGTCATCCGGTTCAACACACCTAACCTAGCGGGGCCTTAGGTGGTTCGCCACACCAAGACCCGAGGCTTAGGTTGCTGATTTCCATCACTGAACAACGGGCCCTCGTCACTATGGGGATTTCCCCGTTTGCCGTTCATTACACTAAGGTGTGTAACAAAAAATCTCATTCTGACGAAACATGACAGCTTAGGTAGTGGGTGTTTCGCCATGTCTAAAGAGTGTGTATGGAGCATTGTCCAGCTAGTTTCTGTTACAATGGCAGACACTCATGATTCCACCTCATCAGAACTGATAGCGTCCAGAAGAACTTTAGCTATCCATTATGTCACCACTGAAATGCAATACCACTCGGACGAGAATGCCATTATTTCTGAGCAATGCGCACTCCAAAGACTGAAAACAACCTTACCAAAGAACAGCGTTGACTGCCACCCCATTTACTTTATACAGTGTTTCTCAGAAAATAAGACGAGATTTCATATTAATTTTTTGCTTCAAAAAGTGCTCTATGGTCTAGTTTTGGCGATTTCCTGTAAAAATCCATCCCCGTTCATGTACCAATTTCTATATTTGTTCAAGCACAGCATGTCATCCGCGGGAATAACGTCATCAATCTCGAAATCCTGATTTAGATTTCCGGCGACTCCATTTCCTGTACCACTATTCCCTCGTCTCTTATGTCCAGGGAATTTATTGTTCATTCAACTTACTCATAGTGCGTTGGTAACAAAGCTATATTAGCCCACGAGTTCTTTACAGAAATCACGAAGTCCTCCAGATCAAAACTCGGCCTCTACGCTGATTTCCCTCCACTCCATTCATTATGCAGCAGTTGATTTCTGTGATTAAATGGTATACCAAGAACAAGGAGGTATGAACTCATTCATGATTTGGTCTATTCATTGCACTGCACTATCTTTGCGCGGTGACTAAACCCTAGACTCGCAGACTTCGTTCACCAAGTCACAAAGCCAGAGGTGGTACTAAATTGTATCACTTCATCAAAACTGCTTGGGTACATTAGACTGTACTGGTTTTAAAAATAAATACAAGGAATGTGTTCGATTTTATCATTTTTGTCTTTGATTAGAGGTGGAACCTTCGTTCCGTCCAGACAAACAGCATGTGACTCTCGTACTTCGTCGACTTGCAGTCAAAATGATCGAATTCGTCTCACAGTTAATTTCGTTTGCACAACACTGGAAATTTATGAACAGCTATTAATCTGACCCCGGCCTGTGTCGAGATCAAACCGTAATTATAAAGTCTACAGCTCTCAACGGACAGCAACATGGCGCTCCTATCCAACTCAAATCGATCGCATTGCAGTAAGCAACCATTTGCACGGCTCAGCACAACACTGCGGGTCCCATCGGACCACCTGCGTTGAATTTGACCACGCGTTAGCTTTGATGCAGTTTACTCCCCGACTCACCGGTTACAAAAACCCATCAAAGTCCATTGACAGATCATCGTTCATCTGAACTAGCCGTTCGTAACCGCTCTGAATCAGAACTAGGGCAAGAGATAAACGCGCTGCAGCGTGGTAGTGTAGATGAACAATGTGATCGGATAAGACGAGCAATGCACTCCACAGTTTGTGGATCTGACGTGGTAACCCGTCCAAGGATATCTGATGAGTCAGTAGCACCGATGAAGAATTCGCGGCGAATCTGCACCGGCGGGATCAAAGCAGGGGTAGGTGGCATATACGACATCAGGAAAGCCTAAAGAAAGATCGTGAGAACCGGTGGACAACTATAGCATAGGAAATGGAAGTCACAGCTGCAGCAGGGAATAGTAAAAGACGGTTCCCAT